TCTTTTGTTCTTAGGGCAATGAGAATCCATTGAAGGATTTTAAGCAGAGAAGTGACATAATCTGATTTACATTTTAAAAAGATCACTTGGCTGTGTGGAAAATTAATTGCTTTGGGGGTAGGAGTAGAAGCAATTAGACCAGTAAAGCAGTTACTGCAGGAATCAAATATCCCAGAAACAGGTGGTTGGTCAGAGAAGTCACCTGGGAAAGAGGATGATGTGGAGATAAAAGGTTCTAATTACGAGTCTCTGTCTGTGAAAAGCTGTAGAGAGCTTTGTGCAATTATATAAATGGCTCAGTGTTTAGAACTGAGCTGTGTCTCTGCCAAGATCATATTGTTTCTTTTGGAACTGTGTTCCCTCAAGCCTGTATTACAGGAACAGAAGTTGGAGCACACCAATAACTGCAGAAGCAATAACTATTTACTTGGAGACCTCTAAAAGGGATGCTGAACCAGCTTGAGGCTTGGATTAATATCCAAACCCAACTTGATTCTTCTCTTAACCACCCTCCAAATTTATTCATCAAGGGGTGATCTTTCTCTACTGTGGCGAGAGCTGCAGCAAGCCTGTGACATTCTTGTTAATGATGGTCCTACAATCAAATAAAAGCACAAACATTGCCTAAATTAACTAATTAGAATGACTAATCTTGTGTAACAATAAATAATCTGCACCTGTTGTAGTTTTAAATCTTTTTCTCCCCCCACCTCTGCCCCATCATAGTCAAGGAGCCTGCACTGGGCAAGAGGGGAATGATCTGTATGCTCTTCGCTCTCTTCACCACCTAATCACTGCTGATTGCTCTGGGTCCTGAGAATAAAAAAGAAGAGGATAAAATAGTCTGGTTTGACTGGGTAGTTCTGTGCCCTGTGGGTCTGGCAGATACTTAAAGGGGGTGGAGGTCTCTGTTGTCCCCTCTCTGCCAGTCCCTTGATCCCAATGGATGCAGCTCTATTCTAAGGGATCCGCTGTGATTCTCTCCTCAATCTCCCTGCCAAAGGAGGGGGTTGGGTTTGACAGCCCAGCTGTATACTGTCTTAGCATAACAAGGTCTCTCTGCAAAGCAAACTTGTACCAGTCTCCTCCTATCTCATTCATCCTTTTCATTTTACGACCTGAAATTTCAAGTGTGCTATTAGTGCTGCCAAGAATAACACTGTATTTTCTTATTTTATGTATTTCTTCTCCTAGAAACAATATTCACATTCTCCTGTCTTCAAAACTCCAAGCTCTTCTCCATTCTCACTCTCAACCAACAAATTTGCTTCCTGCTTCACTGAGAAAGGCAACCAGAAAAGAACTTCTAGGGCTCTATCCTGATCTACCAAATCAGGAACTCTGGGAGAGGGCTTAGAAATCTGCATTATTGGGAGCTTCCAAATGATTCTAAAGCACTCTAAAGTTTGAGAGCCACTTCCTTTAATAGAAGAGTGGGAGCAACCTCCTCCCACTCCACTCATCCCCTACTACTCTTGCCACTCCCTCTATCTGTTCTAGCTACACTGCTCTCATTGTTCCTTAAACAGAGATCATACTGTTATTTCTTAGGCAAATATGCTTTCTTCTCTCTTCCGTCTAGGCTTTCAACATTAGACACTAAAGCCCAGGCCTGGACTTGAACAAGAGCTTGTCCACAAGCCAATGATGAAGCAGGGAGGACCCAGATCAAGCTCAGGAGAGTCCTGCTTTCAGAAGCAGGGTGACTGACAAGGGCTACTAGGAAGAGCCTGGGGCCTGCCTCAGATCTTAAGAGATGTTTACTCAGGTGGCCTGAGCAGGAACAAGCAAAGGGAGAATCCAAATTATAAGTAAGGGAGGAAAGCAAACCCTAGCTGTCCGGCAGAGCACAAGAAAACAGAAAAAATTAATCAAGATCTATGAATATAAGTAACATCTGGAAAAAAGCACAAATATGGAGCTATAAAAGGTGATGAGGATCCTACAGTGACACAGATGCTCTGCTACTCTAACACATCTTTGGCCTTTGTGGCTTGCCTCCTGCTTGGTTATCCCAGAAAGCTCCTCCCTTGTGGAGCTGCCACAATAGACAAGTCTTCTCAACAAGCCCAGTGAATCCTGATATGCTGACTGCACATTTTATGTTGGCTATCAGCTAAATTCACCTGCCTCACATCACCCCCAACAATGGAGTCTCTCTAGCAGGCTGTATAAACCCTCTGCTTTTTAAAAATTTCTGCCATTCTGCCTCTCCTTCCCTTAGTCTGCAGATCTTTTGGATTCTCCCCTTCCCTCAAGAGGCTGACACCTATTCAACTGCCAACTTCTGTCATTATCCTGGAGAACTTCCAAATCCAGGCGGACAACCCCTCCCCATAATACCTGACTGCTTAGTACATTACCAATCTCCAGGCAACCACCCTTGCATGACTCTCAAGCACTCACCTCGACTGCTGTCACCTGGAACTGTCTGCTTTCAAAATTAATAATTAAAGCATTCCTATTTCTGACCACAGCCTCTCATCCCCCTGATCACTTGTTCAATTACTCCCAGAACAACAATACATCCTATCTTTATTACCTGTCCTACAAAATTCTGTAGTCAAGTGCTATCATCACTTACTTGCTAATGGCCTAAAACTCCTTTGCTCACTGTCCTTTCAATTGTCTGAAATGAACTCTGGATAATCCCTTAGTACTCACCTCTTCTCTTCCACAGCTACGCCTAGATTACTGAATAGGCAGAGATAACCACGCCAATAGGCTGATTGCTATAACTATAAACTCATGAATACAGCTACTATAGAACCAAACAGGCTCTCAACATTACTCAGCAATCCTCTCCCCACTGCAATGACTTGTTACTCCTCTTAATAGACTCCTCAGCAGCATTTGACAGTGACAACCCACCCATTCCTCCCATATTAAAAAAAAAAAAAATCCACTCTTTTACTTCTTTGGTCCAACCTTCCATCCTCCATCACTTTTACTAGTTCATTTTCCTTTATCCTCCTCAGAATTCTATTCACAGCATTTTCTCTTCTCAGTGTCTTTCCCTGGATATCTCATCTATTCCTATAACTTTACCTCTAGGTTGCTGATTCCCAACCCCCTAGCACAGGTCTCGTGGATGGATATCCCCCTTCCAAATGAACATCCAATAAGCACCTAAAATCTAACACTTTAAATGACATCATCAGCCCACTCAGTTGCTCAAGCCAGAAACCTGAGACTTACTTCCTATTCGTTTCTTTCACTTACCCTCAACATCCCACAAATTCTAATTAATGAAGTTCTCCTGTCTGCCTACTCCTTCCATCATCTCTAGTCCACAGTGCCTTACCTTATGTCCTGAAACTGGTTTCTACAACACCCCACTCAATTGGACCTGTCTTTTTTTTTTATCTCTCCCTAGGTGAACAAGTACCCTGACTTTATCTCAAGTGATAAACTCTGGGAATACAAAGATACACATATGGTTTCTGAGAAAACTGCAGCCAAATGCACAAAACAATCACAATGCAGTATTTAAATGCTGAAGTGTACTCTTCAGGTAGTACTTCAAGCACAGATGAAGAATTCTGCTTTGGGAGTAGGGTTGTAGGAAACAACTAGGCTGTCTGGAAAGATGAATAAATTTTGCCAGTTAGGTGCATATGCAGCAGAAAGAACAGTACATGCAAAGGCACAGAGCAGTGTCTGCTGAATGGTTCACAGCCCAGGCTCTAAACATACCCTCTGGCTTACGGCATATTTTAAAACCTCCATCCCCTTACTAGAAGTATCCACCTGGCTCAGAGGCCTGGAACTTATGTCTTCCCAGTGGGCAATCTTAGGTGTTCTCAGAAATAGGTAAGGGAAGCTATATCTTTGCACCTGGGCCTATGGCAGATATCATCTAGGGTAGGCCTATAACCTTTAATCCCAGGTCATGGTCCCTCAATGCCAGCCTTCCTTGCTTATAGCTTCCCCAGGACATGCTGGCCTGGGCCCACTGCAAGGGAGAAATAATGGACAGTAATGGACCCTCCTGCCAATGAACAGCTCAACCCTCCACTTCTACATGGCATTAATCAGTTGTTTATGAGCAGAGACCCAGATCCCTCACTATCCCCTTTGAGGACAGCTCAGAACCCATTAGAAGTCTCTAAATACCCTAGAAAAATTAAATCTGTTGAAGGGCTTATTCTGAGCAAACCCAGTCTTAGTCAATATACCTATTTTTTGCCCTTCAACCTCCAACCGACCTAGGAAAGGTCTTCTAGGAATAGTGAGGCTCATGACACAAAATAGCCACAGCCAGTTTATTGAGCACCTCCCATGTTCACAGGCCTGGCTTTGGATTTCTTCAGTTAACCCACACAATGACCCCATAAACAATAATTCTGCCATTTTTCAAATGGGGAATGTGATATTCAGAGATTAAATGACTCCCAACTGTAAGTGGCAGGCCAGGAATTGAATCCAGGCCTATGTGATTCCAAAAATCTATTCTATTTGTCACATACAACCAAAGGCCCCACAGGATAATGGGTGGTAGGAGTGGTTTGGAGTATATGATTCTAAAGATAGAAATGAGAGCAGAGGGGAAAGGTGAACCACTAGAAGTGCTTAGTAGAGGGACGTCCCAAGTCTTGACTGGCAGTTTGGATTGATATGTCAACCCTGGATGTTGATGGACTACCATTTGCCCCAGCACTAAGAAGCAAGACTGCCTTTATGCAGCCTTGAAAGCCTGGGCAGACTGAAGGTGCAGGGGCAGAAGCTAAGAGCGACCAGTGGAAGCTGGTCTACAAACAGATCAGAAGAGAGTAGGGTGGAGAAGCTAGGACAGAAAAACCGTGTGGCTTTCAGACAGAAAGAAAAGCCAAACCAGAGATACCCTGAATTACAAACTATCTAGTTTTTATGATACCTAAGGTGATCTACGATCTCTAGATATCCCCATGTTCTCACAACACCTTATTCTTACCTGGCCCTAAGTGACTTTATGTTTCCAGTAACTATGAAGCCTTTAGTAGAACAGAGCTGAGCCAAAGTTTTATCATACTTTGTTCTTAGGATGGAAGGGAGTTAGTACCAGGTCGTGGCTCATGGTCTTCAGAGTTCTGAGCCTGAAGTTCAAGTTCTGCATCCCTTTTTGTGGGAGGTCCAGGGGTCACCTGCGCTTGTAGAGACATGGCTGAAGCTTCAGGCCTGAGAGTTGAGCCTTGGGTCCTATCCGAGGGGTCCCAGTTTTTTGAAAATCAAACAAGAAGAAGTGGCTGTTGGTCAGGTCCTAGGGGCAGAAGATATCCAGTGAGATCCAAATCTTCACCCCAACTTCTCAACACTTCCCTCCACATGCTACGTCTGCTCAGAAAGCTCCCCAAGGTTGCCCTTGCATGGTGCTTTTGGGAAAAATACCTATGCCATTGTTTCCATCCCAATCACCTTTAACCTGAAAAGGGCCACACATGAGATTAAAATAAGAGCAAACTTGTTGAGACCTTTACCTTGGAGATGACCTTGAAGCCCAGCTTGGACACAGCCCCTAGAAAGATCCGAACATCCTCAAAGCGGCTGCTGACCTCAGCTACTTTCAGAAGACCCCTAGGAAGGACAGAAAGTTTTATGTAAATGCAGACACATACATATCTACATACATGTATCTGTGTCCTAGAAGCTCCTACCCTGGCTTCAGCACTCGATTTGCCTCCTCTAGGAAGTCCCTGATGTTGGTTCCCATCAGTGAAAGGCAAAACACAGCCACATCCACAGACTCATCCTCCAGAGGCACCTGTGGAGATGCAGGTGTTATAGAAGGCACACAGCGTCAGAAGGAAAAAGCCAGCATTGCATGCTAGGGCAGGACCCCAGAAAGGGAAGGGGGTAAGGATGGAAGGGTTAAAGAGATTACCAGATTGAGGTTGGTCCCAGAGCACAAGCCAGATGGATAGAGAGGTTTACCTGGGCCATGTCACACACAGTGACCCTGGGGTCCAAAGAGGCCAAGTCAAAGCAGTGCACAGGATTCCGGATACTTGAAGCCAAGCGGCAATCCCCACAGCCAAAGTCAGCCACCACTAGGGTTGCAGGCCTAGGAGTGGAATGGAGGGGTCTTAGCCTGGTTTGATTAAGCCCATGACTGACCCACATGGTTTCTCACAGTGCCTAATCCCCATTCACCGCTGGCGAAGATCCTTGGCAATGCGGTCCACTGGCTGAACTGGCCACTTCTTCACTTGGCTCTGGAAGCCACGGTGGTAAAGAAGAAATGCCTCAGGATCGTCCTGGAAGAGACGCTGTGCAGCACTGCTGGGCCCTGAGTACAGCTGTTCGTTGAGGTAGCGAAATCGGGCCCCATCCAGCCGCTGTGCCATGCGGGTTCGCAAAGCCTCCGCCCGAGCCTCATGGCTGCCTGGACTGTGGGAAGAAGACCTATCTGTCTCCTCTGTGGGGACCTGAGCTGCAGCCTGGTCTGGCACCTGAGGTGGCCGAAATTTGTTCTTCTGTCTCCGTTTGTTCTTTTGTCGGTTCCGCCACTGCCTGCGGCTCAAGGTAAGAGCCGGTTTAGGGGAACTGGACCCAGGGCTTGTATTGGGTGGGTCATTTGTAGCCCTGTTCTTCCAGGCTTTGGGACCTGCAAGGAAGAAGATGAGAAGGTGTATTTGGGGCAAGATCTCCTAAACTCAGAGGCTTGGCAAGTTATTCTGGCCATACCCTTGTCCTTGAGACAGAGACTATCGCCTGGATAAAGTACTTATTTCCTAAGAATACTATTAGCCCCTATCCTAAGGGTGGAGAGTAACCTCTGCTACGTGTAGAATCAGCTGATACCCCACCCCTCAATAAACACATAAGATAGTACCTGAATGGTCAACCTTGTCCAGGTGCTCGGCTGGGTTTGCAGGGGTGTGTTTCTGGTGTTTCCTCTTTATTTTCTCTTCTTCAGCAGAGTCATTGCCAAGGAGAGACCTTTTACGACACTCCTTCCTTTCTACTTCTCTCTCCTCAGAGCCACTCAGGCTCTGTTTGTGGCATTTCTTCTTCCTTTTCTCCCTTACTTCTGCAGAGGCACTGGAAAATGATGCCTTTTGGGGGCGTTTCTTTTTCCTTTCCGCCTCTTCGTCTTCAGAGTCACTGCTAGGTAGGCTAGGGGGTTGATAGGAAAGAGATGCTGCCTCTAGGGCCCGTAATGTAGCTAGAAGCTGGCGGTGCTTAGAGCCCTAGGGAAAAACAAGGAATGAAAGCAGGGATGAGGAGAATGGATGAGGCCTAGGGAATAAGAAGGGACAGATGGAGACCTGATTCAGACACTGGAAGAAGGATCTGTATTCTTCCTAAATTAGCCTGTTGTGAAGCCTCTATACTCTGACAAATTTTCCTGTCACCATCCCAATGTTTGGGAGGTTAAAGGCAGAGAGGCCACCTACCCTATTTTCTCTGATGTGCCGTATGGTAGTAATTTCCCTTCAGACTGTTATTTTGTAGAAGTCGTTAGTTACAGTGTGGAATGGACTGGAGAAATGAAGAGTGGGTGGCAGCAAAAGGTGTCAGTATCACTGTGCAAGGGAGGATGTGGGGAACTGAGAACCTCCCAGGCAGGTGGATGGTAAGGTAATAGAGTAACGTGCTAAGGCAACAAGCAACAAGATCAAGGACCAGAGACCACAAGTTTCAACTGTCTCAGGCTTTTATCCCAGCCAATACCTTTCCATAAGGAGTAAGAAGGTCTCTAAACATAAAAGGGACACAATGACACATGTGTATTAAATTCACAGTGGACATAAAGTACACATGCAATTTACTATGTTGAACTATTTTAAATTGTACATGAACTTTATGTCCACCCTGTATGTTTCTAGCTGCAGTGTAGAGAACAAACTGAAGGGGAGAAGCTGCAGACAGAGAGGCCAGTAGCATGGATTATGGCAATGGGCTGAGAGGATGAAAAGGGAGGAGCAAAACAGGCAGATTCCATGTTGTAAGTGGACTGAAAGGTAAAGAAAAACGTGAGGAAGTACAGCAGTCCTCACACATCTACAGCCGCTCAAAGGAGAAGGTCTACTGTCCAGGAGGCTGATTCTGGGTTGAAGCTCTACAGGGTGGTCCTAGGCCATCCATCCACCTGCCCTGGAGGTTCTCAGTTCCCCACATCCTCCCTTGCACAGTGATACTGACACCTTTTGCTGCCACCCACTCTTCATTTCTCCAGGCCATTCCACACTGTAACTAACGACTTTAACAAAATACAAATCTTTAAAAAGAAAAAATCATTCCATTGCTAAAAAATATTTCATCAGCTTCTCTCTATCCTTAATGTATACAAAATTTCTAATCTACCTCTTCCACTTGAACAGCATCCCCTATCATTTACTCTGTGCTCCAACCACACAGATCACTTTTCTGTGTGTGACTCTTAACAGAACAAGTTCTCTTGCCCCAGGGCCTTTGCACGTGCTTTTCATGTGTGACGAACTCTCTTTGCTTCACCAACTTCCACTTAGCAACTCTGTCTCGGTGTCAATGTCATTTGCTTTTGGAAGTTCCTGGAACTTCATATCTGGACTCTCCCCTAACAGTGCCACAGGTGCCCTTCCCCCCAACACACACACAAGGCGTGCCCAGAGGCCAGGCTCTACCAAGGTCCGCATCCCATTGGCCTGCGGGGCCACTCACCTTGCTTTGCGAGGCTGTCGCTGGTCGAGGCTGTAAGGTCACGAGCCCTAGGCTTGAGGCTGCTGGGGCCGCCTCGGCCCACTCAGGCTCCTCGAACATGCGGGTCCGGAGGACAGGGTCGAGCAGTCCACTTTCCTGTCCACGTGCAGAGCGCGTCAGGGAGTCGCAGTGCCCAGCTCTGACAAAATATAGCCGGAAACCAAAGCGTGAGACGCAGAGGCTAGAGCGGCCGGCGCGGCGCAGAGAACCATCGAGTTCAGAGTCGTCGGCTAGAAGGGCGAGGGAGGGGAGTAGAAAGGGAGGGAAGGCTGCCCGCGCTGGCCGGAGAGGGCCGGGGGGCTGGGCGGGGCCGGGCGGCGGGCGCGGCCGGACGGGAGTTCCCCGGGAGAAGGAGCCTTCAGCCTGCGTCCCGGTGAGTGCGAGAGGTCCCGCGCCCCCTGCCCAACACTAGGTTCTTGCCAACTTGTCACTCGTCACGCCGTTCGAGTTCCGAGTAAGGAACCGGGGCCATCCCCGGGAAGGACCCCTCTCCTGAACCTCCTCCCTTCCCCCACTCTATCCGGGATAAGGTCTCGGTGCCTGCTCTCTGCATCAGTTCAGAAGATACTACCTCTTACTCACCCCCTGCCCGTCCGGACCCACCTTTCCCTTGCACCCAGAAGACACACTCAGGGATCTACCTGGTGTCCCGAACTCCTTCATGGACTCCCACCCCCAACACTTCTCTCCTGTATAGGACAAAGCCTGGAGCTCATCCTCCTTCTCACCCCTTCTAGTCCCCAGGCTTCCCCAATCCCGGGGACTCAGCGCTGGGACGCGGCTATGGACGACATTTTCACTCAGTGCCGGGAGGGCAACGCTGTTGCCGTGCGCCTATGGTTGGACAACACGGAGAACGATCTCAACCAGGGGTGAGCTGAAGCGACTGGTGAAGTAGAGGAAGGGTAGAGATCTACTGCTCTGGGCAGCATGGGGTGCTCATGTCTGGTAGAGGCGGCTGACTTTGCCTTCTAGTGTGAGGAGTGCTGGGCACAATTTGTGTGAGGCAAAGGGTCTCCACAGAGGAAGTAGTGTTTGAGCAGAATCTTGACTGCTGAATGAGAGTTTCACAAGCTGCAGAGAGCTTTGCAGCGTCACTGAACTGCATGGGCAAAGGCTAGGAGGTAAGACACAGAGCAGAAAGTGCCATGAAATTGTGTGGCGCTCCAGATGATGGGAAGATAGGTTTCTGTGGGAGGAAGTATTGGGTACAAACAGAAAAGGACAGATGATAGGCTGGAGAGGTCTACAAGTGTCAGCCAGATGATGCAAGTTCATTTAGGCTATAAGAAGGTCTTTATTTGAAAGCTGTGTAGTGATATGAAGTAATTGTCCATTTGTTCAATATCATCTTGGATCCTTTTGTGAAGAGCAGGTGGGAAGGAGGCAATTGCGTAGTTCATCCTAGAAGTGGTGTTTTGGACAGGAAATGGGCTGAGTGGAAAAGAGAAATGATCAGATTCCAGAAATCTTTAGGATAAATAATTGTGGGACTTAGTGTGGGAAGTGAAGAAGGGCAAATAATGACAACCAGGGTTCTGCCTGGACACTTAGATTAGATGGTGGTTGCTTTTACTGAGATGAAGAATAATTGAAAGAGGAGGTAATCTATTCTGGACTTGTTAAAGTTAGAAGACCATTTAGCGTGGTGGAAACGTTGAATAGGTTGTTGGTTATGCTGAGTTGCAGTTCAGGAGAGGTATCTGACTTGGAGACACAGATTATATGATACCTAAAGATGTGGTGTGATGGAGAGTGCCTCAGGAAAGTGAAAGACAAGAGGGCAGGGGACAAGAAGCTAGAAGTTGGAGAAATAGGAAAACGTGTGAGTAAAACTTAGAGAAAAGAATGTTTCCATAAGAGGGTAGTCAATAGTAATAAGACTACCAAGAGGTCGAAGAACATGAATACTTTAAAGTAACCATTGAGTTTACAATTAGGATATATTTGAATGTGTCTGTAAGTGCTGTTTCAGAGGAATAACAGGTAAAAACCAGACAACTTTGAGTTCTTTCATTTAAGGGACTATACTGAGCACTACCTGTGCTGGGTGTAAGAGTCTCAGAATCAGACATAATCTCTGCCCTCAAAGCAGCAGCAGATTGATGTTAGGTTGAAAGTGAATGAGAGTGAAGGCAATGCATCCTTCTTTAAGGATGGCTGAGATAGGAAGACAAGAAGTGCAATAGTCATGGTGACTTAGGGTGGTGGATTTTAATTTTTTTATTTTTTAACATTGGTAGAGTTTAGTTCTTTAGGTTTGAGAGTTAATGATTGCCTGTCATTTTAGTTCTAGTTTCACTGGTTCCCATTAAGCTCTACACTATTTTTCCTTAATAATTTGCAAAGCTATTTCTGCTGTTTTTATGTACTTCTCATGGAGTCCTCTGGTAAAGCCTACTTTGTTGCTGGGGAAATAGAGGCTTAGGCAAAGTTGCCCAGAGGGCCAGCGTCTGGGAAGACTCTTAAGTTTAGGAAGTCACTGCCAAAAGGCAAAAGAGTTGGCATTAATGAAACTGGAAGGTTTTGGTGCTGGTTTCACAAGATAAAGTATGGAGACCCAAGCTCTGTGCTGATATGAAAAGGGGGTTAATTCCCTGCAGATTTGAGGCTTTGAGATGACAGGCAGCCTGACAGTGAAAGAAACATTTGTACCTATACTTACCCCCCACCCCCCACCGCCCGGAGCCACAGACAGCACTAGAGGTTGATAAGTCAGCGCACAGATTAAAGATCAGGGAGGCAAGACTGCCAGACTGTTAAATGGGGTGTAATTGCTTCCTGGGGATACCCTCTTCTGGGGAAAACTTTTGGCTCTTTCTGTGTGAGCAGATAAAGGCAAGCTGTGGAGGAAATGATTAAGTTAAAAGCCACAGCTCTACCCCTTTTGGCTGTGGAGCCATCTGGGTGTCCAGACCTCTGATCAGCTCCAGGCCCTGCCTAGAGCCCCTACACGGGAAGTGACCGCAGCACTCAGGCATTTGAAGGCTGCCTGCTTAGGCCACGGGACCGCCCCCTGTTCCGCCCCTTGGATCAGCAGCCCCAGACTGGAGGGAATTTCCTTTTATGGCCCCAGGCTGTCAAGCAGGCCTAGTTCCAACTCAATTGTTTTGTTTTGTTTATATATACTTTTACTTTATAAAGTACATGTCTTTGGGAAAAGGAAAGTCAGGTATAATTTTCATTCTAGAGTAGCCGTAATCATTTCCTTCTGTCTTCTATGTCCAGGATTATGAAGTGGGGGAATCCTATTTTGTGTGGTGGTTTGTTTTCTGCCTCATCAGAAATCAAAAGCATGCCTCTTTTTTAATATAAACCCTTCCAAAGCATCATTTAAATTCCATCCCATTTTTAGATGTTATTTTCAGTTCCAGGGCCAAACAATAAGCTTGTTTACTCTCCTTTGAGTTGTAGCCTTCTTTCTCCAAGATACCCTTCTCCCCTATTAACATCCAGTGAACACTGTCAGTCCATTTCCTCAAGAAGCTTATAGTCTAACAGATGAGATGGTCCATTAACAGACTTTTACAACCCAGAGTGACAAGTGCTATAGTAGGGGTATGTACAAGATGCAGTGGAAAACAAAAAAGACCAGTAGATGTTGCAGAAAGGGTGCAAGGGAAACCAGGCAAAGAATGCTACCACTGAATAAAATAAGGTAGGAGAGAAGGTAGTAAAGATAATAAATCTTACTATAGAGTTGTTGGAATATCTAGGTGGTTTGTTGGGTCTGAAGCTCAGGAGAAGGTCTGAATTGGGACAGCTTCTGGAGTTGCTGGCCTGAACAAAGTCCTAGAGAGCTAAGCCTTCCCAGAGAGTATGCAAAGTAACTATCAGTTTTTCAGGAATCAAAGCCTTTGCTCCATCCCATCTCTAGTTCAATGACTATTGCCCGTTCCTCAAAGGGATGACCATGGTTTCTCCCCCTTGCACTGGGCCTGCCGAGAGGGCCGCTCTGCTGTGGTCGAGATGCTGATCATGCGGGGGGCACGGATCAATGTAATGAACCGTGGGGATGACACCCCTCTGCACCTGGCAGCCAGTCATGGACACCGTGATATTGTACAGAAGGTATGTATGAACCTGTCACCCATGTCAAATACATGCCATGAAGTCATTCATAGGCACCATAACATACAACAGAAAGCATTATGTACTAGTCTCCCTGTCCCCTGCCCTGACACCAGTATCTCATTTGGGATTGACTATGCCTTCTGCCTCTTCTTTTTGTTTGGCCCTGGGACCCAGCTTTTGCAGTACAAAGCTGACATCAATGCGGTGAATGAGCATGGGAATGTGCCCCTGCACTATGCCTGTTTTTGGGGCCAAGACCAGGTGGCAGAGGTGAGTACTTAGACCCAAGTCCTGGGATGGGTAGGAAGCAAAGTCTAGGCCTAAGTGGGAGATTCTGGAATCCAAAGCCCATCTTGTCAGTACTACTTGTGACACAGGGCTGTGTGCTGCATCTGTATGTTCACAGTTTTGACTCCCAGGAAGGTAGCAGAGGCCCTCATCACAATCACCTTTTCATTCCAGGACCTGGTGGCAAATGGAGCCCTTGTCAGCATCTGTAACAAGTATGGAGAAATGCCTGTGGACAAAGCCAAGGCACCCCTGAGAGAGCTCCTCCGAGGTCCATCCCCTGCTCCCAGCTTGTATCCTCTTTATTCCCTATCCACCCAACTCTTCCCTTTATACCACAGCTCAGGCTGACTTTTTTTCTTCCCCAGAGCGGGCAGAGAAGATGGGCCAGAATCTCAACCGTATTCCATACAAGGATACATTCTGGAAGGGGACCACCCGCACTCGGCCCCGTGAGTCACTGAAGCTGGGAGGAGGGGTTGTAGAAAAGAATAATTCTGGGCTCCTGGGACTGGGTCATGTCAAAGCTGGGTACCTGACCTGCCCACACTCTCAGGAAATGGCACCCTGAACAAACACTCCGGCATTGACTTCAAACAGCTCAACTTCCTGGCAAAGCTCAACGAGAATCACTCTGGAGAGGTGACCCCTGCCCTTCTTGCCCCTCCCTCCCTAAGCCCCTATAAGTTAACCTGCTCTGCACCTATTTTAAGTTTTTCCACGTTAGTGGGCAAGGAATTGGTAGCCTTCGTTCAAATACCCTAATGCCTACCTGTCCTTTAGCTATGGAAGGGCCGCTGGCAGGGCAATGACATCGTCATGAAGGTGCTGAAGGTTCGAGACTGGAGTACAAGGAAGAGCAGGGACTTCAATGA